CATGGGCGGGCTCTTCAGCCCTGCAAGGCTTGTGTTGGTGAGGCAATCTTTACAATTGTACACTCGAAGTGTTTGGTGAACATGTATGTTTGTATGTGTAGACATGTGAGCTTGATACAGGCATATGCATGGATGGAAGTGTATAGAGAGGCTTGCAAATATTTTTTTACATAGGCGAAATAGGCATACGTGCTCAGATAGATGGATGAGACAGCTGTGATAGCATGTGTAGGCAGGTTGGACAGGGACATACTTACAATCCATTGACACCGGCATATGGCCCGGCATACGGACAAGGAACACTTGTAAACACGGGTTACCCTGTCTGTTACCCCTCAGTACAATATTACCCCGACCCCTTTGTTACCCCTTGGTAAGGGGCTACCCCTACCCCTTTGTTACCCCTTGGTAAGGGGTTACCCCTACCCCGGGGTTAGGTTACCCACCCCCCTTCGTACATAGCCACATGGGTAACCACTTACCCCTACCCTTACCCCTACCCCTAACCCCTGGGTTATGCTTAAGGGGGGGTTACCCCTCGTTTTATGCCATAGGGATTCTCGCCTTTCGTGGTATAGATCCTCCCCTTCCTCGGCCTCGCGACCACTGAAACGCCTAAGGCAAGGGACGGCTATTACACTTTGTCACAGCTCAGCTCAGCCGCATAACTGCGTAACAGGCATTTTGGACCAAGGAGACTAGCAAGCTCGTCGGCTTTTATACCTACTCAGCAGTTGACCGGATAGGTACGGACGCTGTATAGTTTACTGTTGCCGTTAGCTCGTCACATCGCTAGAGCTGTTTCTCTGTCTTGGCTATGCAGCCCCATAAATCCGGTTATAATGTAATAATGGTAAATCCGTTTGCATACCCTTGATCAGGTGAAATATATCGAATGGGCAAATGACTGCACAATGGCAACTCACAAGCTCAGCTTAGCCAGGACATCAAGTATTCCAAACCAATGATTTTAGCAAGCTCATTGTTTCTTACATCAACTCAACTGCAATCGGATAACTACGGAAGATGGCTCCAAACCGTCACTTGAACCACCTACCGAATATGCGCAAGGCAGCAGAACAATTACCAAAGCGTCAATACATCTTACTAAGGTACAGCAAGTCTGGGAGGAGCGCAATCTATGATTTATTCTTCTAACCGTCTGTCCTGTCCTGTGGATTGGGCAGTGGCAGGAATGGTTCTTGTTCCCCTCCTCCTGACCCCTCTAAGCATGGCTTGCTCCAGCCTGCATAGTGCATACCCGTGCAATTACCCATTGCTATGCACGGGGAACCGCTGGGTAGTACCGGGCAGTGTAATGTGAGTTGCTGACCGTGGGGTATGGCAACCCCTGATCCGTCCCTGGTGCAGCCATCACTGTGGATGGTTGCAGAACCTCTGCCGAGGGAGCGTTATTCTCAAACGTCACTACTTGTCCCAGGACTGGCCCCGTCACCGGCAAACCATCCACCACTGTTCCAATGGCAGGAGTCATATCTCTGCCACTGTACACGCCAATTACCCCAGCAGCTGCATTATGTTGTGGACCCGCATTGTTTTCTGTTGTGGAAACGGCAGCCATGGGTGCTCTTGAAGGCAGGGGCGGCATAGCAGCAAAGATGCTGTTGTTGATGCCGTTTCCAGGCAAAGGCAATAGGGATGCTGCTACAGCCACCCCCGAGGAAGCTTCTGTGGGCTCAGGTACATGGTAATAGCCCTCTTGCAAAGCCGGCCGTTCCTGTGTATACTGAGATTGCTGATAAAGACGTTCTGGTGTCTGCAGCTGGTCTCTCGGCCCAAGGACAACATTCTTGGCCGTCCCCTTAATTGCCTTCTTTACCAGCGCTGTGGGCCGCAGTTTGGAAACATTGAGCCCTGTCTCTACTACGCTGTGCATCAGCTGCATGCTGGTGTCAGTTGCCTGCATGCAGGTTGCGCAAGAAGGAAGGGATTGGAAAGCGTGACCATGGTGGTGAATTCCAAGCAGGACCAATATCGTACAAGATGTAAGCCCGGTCGGCTAACGAGATGCATGTCCAAAATCCCTCCCAAGCACCACTTCAATGCTGGGGCTCACATGCTTCTGAGGAGGCTTTCACATCTAAATGCTTGGCCACATGTGCAGCAGAGTTGTTAACACCTGGTCTGCACTCCCAACGGAGGTGCCAAAGGTCAGTGAGCCATCGGGTTCTGTAGTATCTGGCCGCTGAAAGGCCTCCATAGATGCTTGGTGGAGCGCCTTTGCGCATATTTATCGACGATGTGTGTGCCGTACTCTGTACAGCTACTACAGGTTCTGTACAGCTTCTACAGCTACTCTACACGAACCTGATACACGCACACAAGGTCCCCAAGAGGCCATGGTGCTTTAAAATAATTGTTGTTATCAGCCGCATGTTGGGCTCCAATCGGCAACAGGCGCCCTCCGGGAAAGCAGTTAGCCTGTGCACACAAGCTGCTGCCGAAATCAGCTATTGCTAAAGGCGGACGATCGTCTAGAACTCATAGCCACTGCCCTCACCATATGCAATCATACAATCCAGCTAAGGTGGCCATAACCGGCAATCGGACCAGCTGCTAACGTATTTGTCCTTAACGACTTCATTTAATGACCTAAGAAATGAACCCCTGAGATTGGACCCCTTGGGAATGACCCCTGACTTAAGGGTTATCGGTATTGAAAAATAAGCGGAAAAAAAACCATGTTGATTGCCAAGGACCCATCTGGTAAATAATTCTTCAAATTAGCCTCAATGTTCACTACCAGAATTTGGAGGAGGAAGCACTTGACATGCTCCCGAGATCCACAACACCCCTAACCCTGACCGCCCAGCTCCTGTTTAAGGGCCAAAATATTCTGCCAGACCGGCATTCTTCGGATAGCGCACCAAAACAAGGCACTCGATTACACGTCTAAACGCTACATTAATGACCTCCGTCTACATCGCATGCTTGGGCGCACCTGCGCCGCTGCAGGGCCGTACTTGTGGTACGCAACTTGCGTGGCTGCACTGTGTGTATGCGCAAGCACGATGCGTGCTGCATCAGCCAGACTCTCGTACAAGGCTTCCACCACCTCTACGCCAGCAACGCCGACCTTTCGGAGATCCTGCGATAGCAGCCACAGGCCAGCAAGGTTGGGGACTAAGGTAGTGAAGCCGAAAACCATAAGACTCTCCTCTTCCTTCTCAACACATCTTGATGCCGTTCTCAATGCTGATGAGGGGACATGGACGGCGGATGACAGCCGGTCCGTTTTGAACATCGCGTAGCAGCTTAGTTCTAAACCAAGGATTTGCCAGGTACTGTAATAGCTGGCCACTGGAAAGGCCGCTCATAAACAGCTGAAAGAGCGCATTATGGCGCATTTATAGACGATATGTGTGCCGTACTATCTATGTGGAGCCGTACTATCTATGTGGAACCGTACTATCTATGTGGAGCGAAACTGCTCTACCCGTCCAAAGAGGTCGAGAGCGTGGTGAGAGTTGAGGTGCACGCGTTTGATGCCCAAAGAGGCGACGGAGAGCAGTTGTAACGGAAGTTGACGAGCGGTGCCTCCTTGGGTTGATTTTGTGTAACATCCCAAACAACTGCGCGTCAGGTCCCATTTTCCTGAAAGGAATAATTGCAGCTACTCTCAGGATTTTACGGCCAAATTTATGGCCACAGCTAGCGAAATCAATTCCCAAAAGCCATCTACTAGTTACGGGATTCACCAAGGAGGGGATGACAGTCCCTTGGGAGGGTTTCACTGCCCAACCAAAATGTTAAGCCGCTCCCATGCAAGACACTGCTTTACGGATCTCCAGCAGAGCACAACTGCCTTTATTCACCCATCCGCGCATTACGCCACAGCAGCAACAAACAAGCTAATAACTTGCCTGCATCGATGCCCCTGCCACCCTTGTCTTGCCCATTTTGCGGCCCAGGTCCGAGGCGGCGATGCTCTGCGCCAGGTTGGCCGCTACAGTAGCCGTCACGCTAAGAGCCCCCGCCACTGCCCTGTTGCAGCAGTGGGTCATAAGGAGGAGAGCATACAGCATGCACATGTTGTTGGATGGGACGTATGAAGTGTGGAGTATAAGATAAGAAGCAAATGAGGACAATGTATGCAGGCACCCAGGCAGACAGCAGGCAAGCAGATAGGCACTACCCCAAAGGGCTCCAATCCCCTTGGGCCGCTTCTCCGCCAGGCTGCACCCAAAAGATTATATGATTCCAGACGCTTTGCGCCGGCAAAGACGTCTTGATATTTCGTGATCCAACGTGGGTTCGCATGCATCCATGTGGCGCCGTGGCCACGGTGACTGGCAAACTTTGTTAAAGGAAATAGAGTAGTGTATATAATGTGACAATGGAAACAACACTTGCGTCACCCTGCCTAGCCGAGGTTTGGGGGGTTGCAAATGCAACACAGCAGCGCCGCGTCCCCATGGCACTCAAGCCATCACCACCCCCCTAACAACGGCCAGATAAAACTACCAGGCAGATCACAATGCCATTTTTGCATGCCCAGCGATCTCCGCAGAATAGGGATCACAGGTCACGAGTCCAAGTCGGCGTGTGCCGACCAAAACATTTGCTCCAAGACATGAGGTAGCAGCAAGCGTGCATCTAGAAGCGGGAATGTGGCCAACAACAATATTCGTGGAAACAAGCAGGATGGAGTGCTTGCAAGTACGGAAGAAGAGTGGAAAGCCCGGAAACCTCCATGCGCTCACCGTCCGCTGACCTCAGCAGCCTGGGCCGCAACTAGCTTGGCTCGCTCCAAACGTGCCTGACGCGCAGATGGGGGCATACGGTCGTTTCAGAATACCTACTCCAGCTAATTGCTTCACCAGCCAGGGCTAACCCATTGCCATCATAAAAATCGAGGAGCATGCATTAACCTGATGTTCCCCAACCCGCATCCCGCTGGCCGCTTTAATGCCCCTCCATTGGGCCCCAACTAAGCCCAGACCCGGTTGGGCTGCCTAGCTACCTGAGCTTGAGGTGAAATTGTACATGGCTGCTCCGACGGTTGGATGCGCGCCACCGCCGCGTCTGCCCCTCGCCTCAGTGCCATTCCAGCCCAGGTCGCCGCCGCCAAAACGCCCGCCGCCGCCACCTGCCCGCCCTGCTGCAGACCCACGGCGATGCGGTCCGCCCTTCTGGCGGCACTGCTGGGCCCTGGGCCAGGCCCTGCTGCAGGCTGCGGAGCCTGCTTTGCCGCCTCAATCGTTGGTCTCTGTGAGCAGATTCCAGCGCACAAGTTACGGGGTGCGCCAGTGTGCACGCTGATGACCTCGTACTTGGCAAGCAGAGCACTATCAAAATGAGTGGCTGATGACCATTGATGCAACTGACTCGCTGGCTCAGCCCTGGGGTCAATGCATTCTATTAGATTCTCATACCGTTTTCAAGAACTCTCACCATTCGCTTGAAGCCCACAACCGTGCTGTCCTGGATGACATGTCCAGGTGCAAGCTGGGATAGTTCACCAGCTGCCTCACGGCTACCTAGCGATGAACGTGATCCATGACGTGAGAGCATCGTGTATCATTTGTGTGCTGCCCGGGAATACTGCCACCCAGGAAAACGTCACACTGACCGAAAGCCCTGAGCCTTCCCCCGAATATACCCCTCCCCGTCATCCTGATCAATGAACCATTTGCCATTTCACCTACCGACATACGGAGCGTGACGATCATGACTCATGATTCATGAGGCATGACGTGGGTGCGCCCTTTCCAGGAAACCACACAACGACATTCACCCACCTGGGTCACACCGTCATAACACCCACAAGCCCCATACGGCAATCAAACGCAAGCCACGCATGTCCTTTCACTCCCCCGCGGAGAGCTACTCGCATATGCAACACAAACCACTGTTACTTTGGATTGCACGCACCTGCGCAGGTGGCAGCTCTGTAGGAGCTCCATACTGCGCACCAACCGCCGTCCCACCAGCAGCACGTGATTCCTCGTGTTGCTGTACACGTTCGTAGTCTTGGTAAGCAGTACCAGACGCTAGGATGGCCTGTATGCATGCGATAGGAGCGAGGAGGCACATGCACACAGCAGTTCACGCAACACCCTCACCTCATCACGGCTCAGACCGAACGCGATTCACAAATGCGGTTGGTTCAGGAACTCCGCTTTAAGACTACATGCTACCGAAAATAAAAAAAGTATGTGGAAAGGTCGACCCTTGCGATCCGCATACTCCATCGTCGAGTAATCAGCCGGGGTGCATTAGGGATGCAGTGGGACCTGTCACGTGCAGCACCCCCATGATTGTAGGCAGGCTACCGGTGACCAGCATGAGTGGCTAAGTACCTTCACACATGCCGCATGGTAGCGCGACAATGTGCATTTATGGCGCACCTATCTCCGAAACTACATAGCATATGCTTGTACATGGCGCTCAGCAAGAGGAGGCCCGATTACGAAAGCGAGTACCGATAAGAAGCTGACTCGCACAATAACGAAGCTGCATCAACACGGTGCACCCTGCCGTACTTGCCTGCACCAGGTCAATCAGCTCCAACGCTGTGTCAGGCTGTAGCGTCAGGCAGTAGTAGCAGCTCAAGGCAAGAGCATCATCCGTGGGCTGTGGAGATGCAGGCGACGTTGCCAACGCTGCAGTGACCTGTGAGTTGACACCAGGCCACGCGCCAGCGCGCGCATCTGCGGTTGCCGCATCTGCCGGTGAAGTCAGCTGAAAGGCGTAGGTGTGATCATCGAAGCGAAGGGCGGCCACCGCACGCCCCAAAGCCCATCGTACCGAACCCACCTACGCGTCAACACATGTCATGGCCAGCAGTCAGTTAACGTAGCCCTCACAAACTACCGTCCCCGAAGACGGGCCAGCCTACGGGGCCAGCCCAGTGCACGCGTATTGCTTGGCTACAAGCTTGATGGGATCAAGTTACGCTCTTGACTTTCGGATACTCGGATCGGGGTGTTGCTTGCAGGGCAAAAAAAAATGATTCGGTCAATCGCCTCGAATCCCCTCTGGCATACCATTTCTGCTGTCACGTCAAGAACATTGGTAAGGGCTAATTGGGCACATGGCCACTACCGTGCTGTAAGCACGCACATCGGAAGTGCATACAAGCATTCTCTCACCTGCGCCTCAAGGCGCGTATCCTCATCGGAAGCAGTGTACCTAATCACGAAGTCGCCGTTCGCTATCGAGGTGACGGCATTGGTGGACCGTGCGACCTGCGATGCCAGGAGCTTGTCTCCGGAAGGCCTAATCAATATAGCAGGTAATACAGTGTCTTCTGCATACCTGGTAAACGGTGGCGTTATGAATCCGGACCAACGGCTCGCCCATCCCGCTGGAAAACTCGGATATATCACGTTATGTGTACTGGAGCCCTCGTATGCAAAAAAATAACATTCAGCCTGGTAGTTGAGGTTATAAGAAGGCAAGTTTCGCTGAATGAAAATGCTTCAATGAAAATTAAACATCCACTCTGCAGGGAAGCAGAACCTAGCGAAATCCGTAAGGGAAGAAGTAGCGAATCACTGCGCGCTAACTCAAGAAATAGTGGAACATCAGGCCTTATCCGGCCTTGGAAGGTGAGAAGGCTTCAGAAGGTGCGTAAGGCTAACCTGCAACGGTGTCGTACACACTACTCCAAACTGCATTACTTCAACAGCATTACTCCAACAGCAACAGTGGAAAACAGCACCAATGAGTTAAGGTAATCCATAACATGCTTCGCGCAGAGCGCAGCATTCATCACTAGCTCTTTACTAGCTTGTGTGCTCCAGACTCGTGAAGAGTAGAGCCAGCGGGCCAGCTGGCTGCGTCACCTGAGACGATCAGACCAGTCAAGACACCCACACAACCAGACAACGCAAGTCACCTAGACAGCAGAAAGCGAACCCAAGGGGTAAAGCTCAGAAGCCCACGACCACGGGGGAGTTTGCCATTAGGCTCCCCGATTGGGGCCCCGGACACCCCCCCCGACGGCCCACCAACAATTACTGACAGGAATTTGCACGTTGTTACTAGATGAGGACTGTGCTCCAAAAGCGCCAGAGATAAAAGAAGCCGAAATAAGAAGACGGATGGGCTTACAGCTAATCTTCCATCGATAGCCCGCTCTCGTGAACATAACTTGTCCGACACAATCGCAAAAATTGGTGGCCTGATTTTACCAAATCCCATCCTTACCGTGGGACCCCCAGAGCTGCAGAACCCCGAAGCTTGCCCCCAAAAGCTAACAACAACCCGATCAATGGCTCCTTTTGTAAGGCAAGGGCCAGGTATCAGCGCCGGATCTTCATTGCTGCAGCAGGTCTCTCTGCATCCCATATTTTATATCGCCGCCCGTGCTCCATGGCTGACACCGCAGCAAGAGCCACAACATCTCAAACACATTGTTACAATGTTTGTGGAGCTTGTACAAGCCAAAGTTGCTCGCGTAGCACTGGCAATTCTATTGACAAAGCTTGTGTAGGCAACTTCTCGGCAAAATTTTATTTATCTAGCGAACTAGGATCATCGGCGATCCCTATTCCTTCTTCTCTTAAGTAGCTATTTATCTGAGGCTTTGACGTCGAAAAGGCTAAGTTATCCTGTTATTCTTTGGGCCTTGGGTCCGTCTAAACGGTCTAAACCGTACGAGCTCGCTGAAGCTCGCAAGTCCTAAATCAGCAGCAGCAATAAAGATCGCAATTTCTCAGGAGGGCAAAAAATTTGTATCTGTACCATCAAAAGAGCCGTACAGCAGTGATGCGCCGTCGTTACAACATGTGGAGGTGTTGTTGCGTGGATGCACTCTAAGCACCCGGAAAAACGCGCCGCGCCGCATCACACAGCGTAATGCACTTATTTTAATACATAATTATGCGAGAACATGCAGCTCCCAGCAGCAGCTGCGCCTCATTACCTGCCAGCGTCTCCTAGTCATGCCGGCTGGCGGAGCTGGACGAAAAGCACCGACTTAGACCAAGTGTATCATTCCCATTGATACGTTCTTTTGCGTGCCATGGGGCAGTACGGTTTGCATTGACATGTCATGAAAATTCATAGACTAGCTACAAGAAGCACGCGATAAGGAAGTGGTGGTAAGTGTGCATGCGCATAATCTCCTTGAATTCACATTCAGCTTTTTACGCTCCATGCTTTTCTAGAAGCCCGGCAGGGTTCTGGCACGGCGAGGATAGATTCTGGGATAGATAGGCCTCCTCGAAACTCAACCTTGGACAAAGGCTCTTGGCTTTCTTTGCTAACCTGCGCCTCGCACAACTGACAGACATAATTACGGATGCCAGAACAGTTTGCAAAAGCGGAAGCTAGCTGCTGACCAGTCAATCTGGTCTATCTGACACACCCGTGTCAATAGCTACGCAAATCTTGGGCGGCAGACCTTGTCCGCACGGCATGTTCAGGCGCTCGCTGTGTTCGTTTGCGGAATCGTGCTTTCGTGAAAGTAAGCACAACGCTTGAAACTGCCCTTCTTGTACAACTTCAGCAGACGATTGTATCGCGTCATTAAAAGGAAAAAGTGCAGCAGCGTAGCAAGGACGACTGTTGCCGCCTAGCTCCGCCCTCGCCACACGAAAGACCAGGACAGGGCTGCGAAGGGCCGCGTCGATTGGAACTGAGCCTAACCTTCTCTGTACACAACCTTTCCATCAGAACCGAGCTACCTCAACAAATCTACCTCTAAAAAGTCTTCAAACTTTGGTGCGGCCAGCTGCTACAGCAAACCGCTGACCAACGCAAGCGTTCCTTGTGAGCGCTGGTGGGTGTAGGGTACGCTAGCACCTGCTATGGAGCTGCCCGACTTCAGCTTCTATGGCCGGGTCTTCCACGTCAAGGTTGACTCGGACTCAGGTAAGCCGCATCAAGACACGTAGATTGACAGCGCGCGACTCCACAGTCTTCAAAATGCTCCCACATAGTCGCGAATAACGCGCTAGCTCCCCATCCAGTAGTGCGTGTGTCGCCGTATGTACATATGGTTGCATGCAACCAGCTGCTGCTCAATTCAGGCCAGGCATCCCGGGCCATGTTTTCGTGCTGCGCGCTTTCCTGTGCATAAACAATTTTGTGTTGTTGTTGCTACAGAGTGAGAGGCTTCTGGGCCATTTGTGCACTTTGGATTGTCATGTAGGATTGAACTCCATGCAGCACCATACACCATTACCACACCGTACTGCCATACGAACTGCAAGTCCAGGGCGGTTGATTTGGCCTTCTAGAATCCCTCCTCATCCTTTCACCCGAACATCCGCAGAGACAGAGGGTTCAGCAGTCGCCACCAATCCAGTATGCGAATCTCCGTCCATCAACTGTGACCTCACCTCCACACCTCAGCATCATCGCGATAATCTCAAGCTCCCGTACAAATATATTGTCGGGGAAAATCGAGCCCAGGACCATAAGCCGCTAGTTGCAGTAGTGTCTTCAAACCAGACCAGACCTGTAGTAGCTGGTGCACAATACTCAAATCCAACACGCCACCCACTTCCTGCTGCATTACGTTCCTCAACGGGAATGTGACCCGTGTACATACTGTCAGCATGCCTTCGCGACGTCTCGTCTCTTCATGGCCACTCGGTTTCACCCACATTACGGACCTATGTTCATGCAGGCTACGTACGCATCAACTGCGCTGTTCCTGCGGGCGTGGTCCCCAAGCTTGACCGGGTGTTTGGCAGCAGGTTCCTGTGGTACGACCTGTACACTGGGGGGAGCACGACGGCAGTCGCCGGTGACTGCCGCTACACGGTGACCCGCACTAAATAGCGCCTGCCAAGGCCGCCAGCGGCAGATAGATGGGACCCAGCTGGTATTCCCTTTAGGGCCTGGCCAGCTGAGGACGCAAGCTGTGGCTGCCACCAGTGCTTGCGTGTTGGCAGTTGCACGATTCCTGGAGGCCGCGATTGCAAGCTAAATGCAGCGCTGGATGATGAGGGGTGAGGAGCTCGCAAGATGCGCGCCCCATCGTTTGCGCTCCCAAGGGATTTTTGTCTGCATGGACTAGTTCCGTGTGTAAAGCATGGTGCGCGTGGTTCGAAGTGCAGATGCATGTACATGGACAGATGCATGTACACATATCACCTATGTCCTCTATTTTAGAAACGCTGGCCTGCATGTGCAGGGGTTGCGCCAGAGCCGCCACCTTGTAGCCGGTATGGCAGCATCGTTGGGCGACCTTGAAAACCAACCGGCCGTGCCGGCCGTGCTTGTGCTATACAAGCTGATTCGCGTGCCTAGGGTGCGTTGTTACATCCCAATAGCTTGTGACCGACAACGGCATCCAAAAGTGCCATGGCCATCTACGGCAATTGTTGTAAGTCAACAATAGTTTATTGTGCAGAACAATAGGCAGTCTACATTTTGTCCTGCCCACTGTAATGTAATGCATTGGCTTCAAGCACAACTTCGCATTACACCTATTTCGTTGCTGACACTTGACGCATATGGAAAACACTTTCGAGCCGGTGTTCACGGCCTCAACGCTTTGCACGACACACCCACTGTACTTCACCTGTAGAAACCTGGCCCCCGCTCCTCCATACGAAACGAACGGGGAAACGAACGGGGCACCCTATCGCAGCACCTCCTGCAGTGCCGGGCCGTGCTCACGTCACGTTTTCTCGCACTCGTACACCCACCCATCCTACTGTGTGCAGCCCAGAGCACACTTCACGTGTGTGTGCGTCTATGCATACACTTACTTCACACTCTGCGCCCAGACTTAGCCAAGTCCAGAGCCAGGTTAGGAGTCGCTGAAACACATACAAGCAAAATACAGGTGTTTGTCTAATCATTGTATACTGTACAGCCCCAGCAGACTCCAGGTGCTTCACTAAAACATTACGGTTACAGACTACTATTGTACAGCTCGTCTGCACCAATCAGCAGCACCTTACCTCTCGCACTCCCTCATTAGCCAACGTTCCCCACCTCAAGTAACCCTCCGATCAAAGGAGGACACACCGTTGCATCGCATTAATCCGCTTTTGATTGTTAACCGCCTGCCAGTTTGACCATCCGCCCAGTGACCTGCCTTCCCCCTCTCCTCCGTAGCATGGTTCCATCAGTACCGCCATCCCTGCTGTCACCCACTTGCCCGGCATCCCCTAGCCCTCCTCCTCTTCCTCCCCATCGTCGTCGCTGCTGTCTGCCAGTGCAAAAGCAGAGAACAGACCTGCCAGAGCGGAACGCGGCCGCTTGCGAGGTAGGGCCCCCGGAGCGTCATCTGCGACCTCCGTCCTCCTGTCGTGGCTAATGGCAACATCGGTCACAACACCCGGCAGACACGCGCCAACGTGAGCCCCATCAGGATTTTGGGCCCCGCCCCACGAATCAAAGCCCGCGTTGTCAACAGAGATGTCAGCCGCACCGTCATGGGCGCCAGGGTCACACATCCTGTTCATATCATGTGGGCCTCTTGACATGTCATCGAAACCACCGGCGTGCCCATCCCCGCGGCCGGCACCAGGGCCCGCCAGTGCCGTACTTCCTTCCACAACCCCCATTCCCTGGTGCTCGGCTGCTGCCTCACTAGCGGCGATGTCGGCGGGAAAAGCAGGTGGCCCGCCGCTGTCGGCGGCAACTTTGTCGCCGTCGCCTTTGCCGTCATCCCCTGGACCCCCGGGCCCGTTGTCTGTGCCCGTTGCAACCTGCCGACAATGCTCGTCCACAGGCCTGAAGTTAACGGGCGCCAAGCATGCCGGCGTATCTTCTGCGATGAAGTCAAATGAAAGCAGTGCCTGCTCGTCAGCTGCAGCCGCAGCCGTCACCATGGCATCTCTCAGCGCCTGCGTCGACATCGCCGCCACGGCTTCATCATTGCGTGCAAAAGGCGGCGACAGTAACTGGGCTGGCGGCGAGGTTCCGCCCTCCAATAGGGGTTCAGGAAAACGGCTCTTAATACCGCTTCCGCCTACACCGCCGTTAACGCCAACACTGTTGCACCGTACTTCATTTGGCGGCGGATGGTTTACAGCAGCGGCAGGAACACGGTCCGCGTCTCGGATGCTGCCCCCTGCCTCGCCCTGGCCCTGCCGCTCCTTCCAATTCGGTTCCAGCTCGTCCTCGATGGTGCCAGTCACCTGTCCAACAGAATCCACCCGTATTACACACTGATCGGTAGAAGAAGTCCCCAGAACCGCCGCACTTCGTCCGCCTCCGCCTCCGCTTCCACCTCCAGCCCCGCTGCACCCATCACCTTCACTGCCGCTGCTACCACCACTGCCGCCGCGTTCGCCGCAGTTTCTTCCACCGTTGCCATCGCCACCGACATGCGCGCTTTCTGCACTGTGTGCGGGGTCTTTGCGGTGTCGCTTGGCAGCCGGTGGGCTGTCTCCCTTCCGGCGGTCCACTGACACTGTCGTGTTGGAGAGCCCTGGCCCATCACGTTGTAGCTCATCCCCATTGGGGCGGCAGGCAACTCCCCTCGGCGACCCTGCTGGGGGCCCAGCCGTGTAGGGCGCAGAAGCAGACGGGCGGGCCATCTCAAGATGCTGGCTAACGGGGCCCAGCAACTGTTGCTGTTGCTCTGGCGGTGCTGTGTCCGCAGTCTCTGGGCCGGCCCCCTGGTGCAGCTGAGGCTGAGGCTGCAGGGAGGGTGGCAGGTCGACCCCCACCGGCTCCATCGCTTCAGTGGCGTCCATGCGTCCCCACTGGTGCTGCTGTTGCCGCTGCTGCTCTTGCCTCTGCTCCTGTTGCCGCTGTTCCCGCTTAACCGGCGATACCGACAACGGCACTGGTTCGTTGGTGTCTGCCGCCGCATTGCGAACCCCTCCGTCCTGCACTGCCGCTCCGCTTGCATCCACCGCCATGGCGTCTTCCCGTCCTGACAGCGCCACCGGGGCCTCAGAGGCACCCGCCACAGACTGGGCGGCACCCGCCGCCCTTGCCCCAGCGGCCCCCGCCGCCACCGCTGCTGCCGCCAGTGGGCTGCCGCTCTCCTGCGTCATTAGAGCACCCCCCTCAGGCCCAGCAGTCAACCGAATAGGTATCTCAGCCCTTGGCTGCATTGCCAGCAATGGGGATGCGGCCGCCGCTGCCGTCGCCGCGGCGCTGTCAGGCACGCAGGCGCTGCTGCTGCCGTTGTTTGCCAGACCGTGCGAAAGCCGTGCGTGTGCCCTAAGTAGCGTCTCCGAGCGGCTCAGAGATGCGGCTGTGGCTGTGTTGGAATGCGGCTGCGGCCGCTCCACCTTGCTGGCACGCCCGGCAGCGACGGTGATGACGTCAGCTGCAACGGTGGCAGCAGTTGCAGCAGCGGTGATCAAAGGGATGGTAGCTGCAGTTGCAGCGCTGGTTGTAGCAATATTGGTGGCGGCCGTTGCACTAATGGACGTAGCACCGGTCGCGGGTGCCGCAATGCCGGCCGTTGCCTGCAATTCGGCCGTTACAGGAACCAGCGGGGCCGAATTCGGTGACGGCCGTACGGAGATGCCAGCTGACTTGAGCGGCTGTAGCGAGCTGCCGCTTAGAGGCTTGACCGTGTTAAGATCTGCGCCGCGAGCTACAGCCGCCGCCAGTGCAATCGTTGGTGCAGACGCGGCCGCCATTACTGCGGCCGCAACTGGCAGCGGCCCATCAGCTGATCCCGCCTGCTGCGCCGCAACGGCTGCCGTACCCGACGGACGCCCCAGGGAGCGTGCGCCGCCAAGGCCGCCGCTGCCGCAGGCGCCTGCGGCTGGAACGACGGCAAGTGGCCGCACCAGATCTGCAGTGCTCGTACATGCGTCCACGACCGACGCCTTGACAGGTACCGCCGCCGCGGCTGCAGCAGCAGCAGCGACAGCAGCAACTGCCTCCTCCGCCTTGGCCGCTGTCGCCTCAAGCTCCTTGCAGCGTTGCCGCATTACCTCTGCATCTGCGGCCGCCGCCGCGGCTCGCTCCATCGCCGCCGTGAATCCTCCGCTGAATCTCTCTTGCAGCAGCTGCAGGGCCGCCGTCAGCTGCTGGCGACCCGCTTCCGCCTCCTCCAGCGAAATCATCCCCGCCGCAACTGCCTCCGCTAACCGATTCCGCTCCACCAGCGACGCCGCCAGCTGCTCGTCCCGCACGGCCAGCTGCTGACGAAGGCACAAAGCCAGGTCCTGCGCGTTTGAGGTACACACAGCCCTGGGTAGCCCTTGTAACCGACACCAATGGACCAATCGCAGACTGCTGCTTGCAATCATTAGCCACAAGGGATTGTGTGGCGAGGCGGCTTCCCGGGTAATCGGGCTCCCTGCGGATTCTTTACTGGGGGAACCTTTCTCTGTTCCCCTTGTTCGTTGTCACTTCCCTTGCCGTTAAGGGAGCACACACATACACACACATACATACGCACACAACACCCTCCCCCCCTTCCGAACCTAGCCTCTCCACTCTCATAACACAACCCCCAACCCCCTAGCCCCCAGCCCACCTGTGCCGAATGCAGCTGTGCCATGAGTTCGTTGTTGTGCAACCGAAGGGCGGTACAGCTTGACTCGGACGTACGCAGCCGCTGAGGGACGATCAAAGGGAGTGGATGAGAAGGGGGATAAGACGAAACACGCGCGAGTGAAGCTGCTGCAAAGGAAAGAGTGTACAGGAAGGAGAACTGACCAGTAGTCGGTTTTGAAGGAGCCGGGCTCGGGATGCTGCAGTGATGACGACCGCGGAAACTACCTACCTAGCAGCCGAGACTAAAATAAGAGCGGAAGAAAAGCAGTAGAGCCAAGGAGTAAAGGTAGTGTGTAGAGGCGGCGAAGAAAGTAGTAAAAAACTGATGATGTGAGCTGGAATAAAGTTTGCCGCCGGCCTGGCGGCTGCATTGGACCAAAACCTGGCTGATATGCTGGTAATAAAAAGCTGGTGACATGCAAGTGCTCCTCCCAACCCCCCAACACGCGCCCGACCCGACTGACCCAACTATCCTAGTCCGGCCAGCCGACCGACGCAACGCGAGAGAAGGGGGAGAGGGAACGGGTGCAGGCGGGAAGATGGCTGGGTCGTATGTGATATCGACTACATGGAGATGGTGAGGTGCGTAGGATGACGGATTATGCTCGATATGCTGGTTCGGTGGGCACGTGTGTCGCACTACGGCGCGAGAAACCCCTGGCGAGGGAAGACATGCTTGCACGAGGGTTTCATGCGTACGGCACGTCCGGACTGGACGACTGCCGGACATACGTTGTGCCGCACAATCCTTGTCTGGCGAGATTACTTCCAGCCATACAGTACGACAAAATATGGCGCGGCAATATGACACGATGCCGTACCATACGAATCGTGATATGACACGACACCATATTACAAAGTGCACCGTAAGTGTATTGCGCCCCGAGCTACGCGGTATCGGGCAACTCGGGTCGCGGCAGGGTGCATGGCATCACCAGCCCGAGTCTGACGCGGCTTTGTGTATGTAGGGCAACACAATATCGGCCCAACCAATTGCCTAATTGCCCTCGTCCCCTCGCTCGCTACCCCTCTGTTCGCACACGCATCCCTCCCCACCACGCACCTCAACATCCCCCACGCGCCCCTCATATTCCCCTCCCAACCGGAGCCCACCTCTGTCGTTGACTGCACTCTCTCCAAGCAGCGCCGCAGCCCCGCCGCCAGTGGCACCAGCCCTCTGTCCCCGCCCCGACCGCACCCCCTGGGCCCTTCTGCCCCGTCCACTGCTCCCTCCCCCAGCTGCTCCTCAACCCAGCGCTTGCAGGCCACCAGCCCCGCCTCCTGACTCTGCTGCCGGGACCGCAGCTCCGATAACTGGACACGGGGAGACGGGGGGGGTCCGGCGGGTGATGGGGGGTGCATCCATGGGCGAGGACTGGTGAATTATTGTGTGGGCTACGACCAACACCACTCCAAAGCGCCGAAACAAACATCGCACATGCGTCCTCACCCAGGCCCAAAGGGTTCCATCTTGGGGGGAGGAATAGACCAGCAACGGATGCAAGTGAAGGGCGGGTTAATTGACGTCCGCAAAGGCAGAGGGGCCGAGACGTGTCCCGGCGCCAACCCGGGATACCCTTGGTAGTTCCCATCCAAGTATTTGGTATGTACGTACGTATGTATGTATGCGACCTCTGCAAAAGGTCTGCATCTGCTGATTAGGTCAGTTGGCACCACCTGGTGGTGCGGCCATTAGCGAGGGAGTCATTGGCGGTATATGACGACCTCTTCCTTGCCATATACTATCTCTCGTATATTTGCCAAACAAGCTGCCGCACAAAAGCTTCCATTCAACATCTCCCAACGCCCTTTAGGCCGTTACGCGCTTTCCTGGCTTGCCAGTGTGTTCATCCATCTTTTCTGCCCTTCAATAAAACGAGTCCATTACAGGAAAACATTTCTGCACTCAAAACCCCTCTCCCTTTCTTCCTACAAGCCGTCCAAACCACTGCGTCACTAACTCTGCCCCAGCCCCTTCCCTCGCATCCCTTCCCCGCTATATCCCCCTTCCCTTCCTTGCCTGTTGCCTCAGCGCCGCCTGCTCCCCCTCCAGCGCCTCCACCAGCGCACCCATGCCCCTCAGCTGACCCGCTGCAGCCGCCCGCTCAGCCTCCTTGGCACCCAGCTCCTCACCGAGGGAAGCCAGCGAGGTCTGCCGTACGGGAGGGGCAGGTATGATAGGGGCTTGGTGGTTGTAGGGTTTGGCGAGAGGTGTCGAAGGCACATAATGCAGCCTCGGTACTTAGGATGGGTACATCGTGGGGTGGTTTCAGATCCCGACTTCCGACGCGGCCATGGAAACGGAGTTACAGTGGTTTCCCTCCTCCCGCCCTCTCCAGGCTCTCCTCCGCCCTGGCTGTGCGCCTCCCTCGTCCATGGCTCTTGTCCAGCTGCCTCGCCCGCCCCGCCGCTCCGCATATCTGTTGCCTGTTTTTGCTCGCTCTCCCCCTTCTCCTTGAGGCACCTCCTCGCGGGTCACACTTGCCTGAGCCCGTCAGCAACCTCCCCTCCTTCCAACCCACCTGCAGCTCCGAAATCCTCCGGTCCCTGCCAGCCAGAACTCCCTCCAGCGCCAGTCGCCGGCCCTCCAGCTGGCGCCGAAGCTCCGTCGCCAAGTCCTCTGCTGCCGCCGCGCGCTGGGCCGCCGCCGCTGCCGCATCCTGAAGCTCCGAAACTCGGGACCGTACTGCAGCCCGACTCGCGGACAGCTCCGACTCGAGTGCAGAATGGGCCTGCCAGAGGTGATGATATGCAGAGACAAGCGGACTATCAACCTCCAAGGGAAAACGAAACAGTGAGTATCTACATCTGACCAGAACGCTGGCAAATTGGAGTTTAAGCGACATTATTTTTCTTTTGTAAACGCCCCGGAAGAAATGGACTGTTTTCATGTGGGGTTCGGGTTTTAGGGTTTTCTCTGGCACTCAAGCTCTGTACAGCAATGGCTGTGCTGCGGTGTGCTGTCTCGTTGGTCCGTATACCGAAGGCCGCCACCATCTAACGTGCGGCTGTTGCAAAACGCCCCATGATGGGCTGTGTGCGCATAAGTAGACGCTAGGGGGCTAGCCAGACGCAGAAGATTTACGATTAAACTTCATCACATGAGCATGCGACCCCGGTCACTCCGACGTGCCGTAATCATGCCGCTTTTTGAGCACCGAGCCATGAAAACGAACTCGCCTGACCCCATACAAAAGGCGAGAATGTCCGGAGAAGGCCCTATAGCCAACCCTGGTTTGGCGACACCGCTGCATTAATTTAGCAGATGGAGGTCCTAGATCCGGTCCCTAGACAGAACCCCGACATCGCGAGCGTAAGATTGTGGCGAGCTGCTGAGATGCGGAGTTCATACCGCAATTAAGTTCGCACGCTGTTTTGGTGGCGACTGCTGGAACCTCTGTCTCTACGGATGTTCGGGTAACTGGATGAGGCCGAATTCTAGATGGCAGGATCAAACCGCCTTACAAAACTATCAGTTTTAACTTCAAATATTAATCGTCCATGGCGCCCCCGGGTTTTACGGAACCCCTCATTCGTGGCGGGACGTACAAATCCTGTTGCAAAGCGTTGACCAAGCATGCAGGAATCTGCTTTCCAAAGCGACATGTAGGTGGGCGGCAATATCATTCCCGCGAGTACAAATATTTTTGACCAGGTCGACTCAACAACGCAGAAACGTGTTCATATCCGCGAATTCCAATGGCACCAAGGCGCGACCTTCCACTCCACTCCTTTCCTCTCCAAGCCTCTCCGGCAAACCAGGGAAAAAGCCCCTTCCCGGCCCAACTCCAGCCCTGTATGGACCGTCAACTCCCCGTTTGCCACCGTCCGACCATGCCTCACCTTCCTCCACCTCTCCAGCTCCGAAGCCAGTGCCTCTTTTTCCCCCCGCACGGCCGCCAGCTCACTTTCAAGCCCCGACAGCCGGACTCCCAACCGCGATAGAGCCACACCACCACCGCCAAGACCACTGCCGCCAGCTCTGAGGCCCGACCCAGCACCGCCACCGCCGTTCGCTGCCCCGCACCCGCCATCACCTGCTGCTGCAGTGGCTGTCATCGCTGTTAGACCGGCCGAGCCCGGTACAAAAGCGCTGGGAGCAAGAGGTGGCGGTGTTCTCACTACCGGTGATAGAAGGGTGAAGGGCGGGGGAAAGGAGCTGGCGGAGGGTCGGGCAACACCACCACCGCCGTTGCCATCGACAGAGCCCCTGTCCAGAGAGGGATCTGTGTTGGGACCGTGGTGGCCGGAGAGGTGGTCGACGGGTAGGGTGGCCGCGGCGGCGGTGGCAGTAGCGGGGGCCGCGGCAGAGGGACTGCTGGCTGAAGGCTGGTGCGGCAGGCCCAACCCTGAAGCCGCCGTGTTATTATGCGCAGATGAAGGCTGCCGTGATATAGAAACACTTACAGCTTTGGGAATTGAGTCCGGCGGTGGCTGCTGAGGGAGGACCTGCTGTGTGACCAAATCGGCAGCGGCTGCCAAGCTGTCCATGGCGGAGCTGCTGCCGCTTCGATTCATTTGGCTTAATGAAAATGAGCAGCCTGGCGAGAGCTGCTGTCGCTGTGGTCACGCTAAACCCATTTTTGAAGTGCGAGCTAGCGTGTCGGGGCTTTCTTGGCGCGGCTGCCAGCAGCGAACAGCGTGCTGTGCGGAGGCCCAAGAAAGGCGGAATCCTTTTCCGTATGATTTCAAGCGTGACCAAAAGATTGAAGGGTAATTGGTCTGAAGGAGATGCTGACTTTAAGATGCAGCAGCCAGCCTGCGACCAGCGGGTCCTTGGAATGCTGAAACACATATTTTGGCCAAAATCATAAACATCTTATTCGCAGTACCTTATAGGTTGTTGGTCGTATTGTACCAGTACTGGTATGCGGATGATGAGGAGCTCTGAAGCTGTCTCGCGCTCGATATTGAGGATCCAGCCAAGGCACCAAAAGCAGTCGCAGGAAAAACAATCAATGCGTATGACATATGCAAGCTTGCATAGATTTTGATTTTCAGGAGGAGTTGATGCCCGATCAGCGACAATGTGTCAGTTGATGTCGTACGCGGCGTAAGACATGCGTCAAAGTTAGCGGGCCAGTCCAAGGACTACGTTGGTTGCAGATTATATGAGGAAGCCACATGTCTTACCTGCAAACTACAAGATGCAGGAAGGTTTGCCCTCTGGTTGAAAGTACAGCCTACCATACTGCTGCAGTTTACTCGAACTGCAAACGTTCCTGCATTTTAGAACTCACTATGGGGCTAAGTCCAGCAGTGTTGCAGAACGATGTCATAAAGGTGTGGGAGAAGCAGTATCATTTGCCTCAAGAGGTCGACGGCGATTCTCGAACCCACAAAAACCTAGTTCACCTTTACCGGCCTCCAAGCTCAGATTCGCCAGGCATTCTGGTAGCCTGCGCCGTGATTGGCTGCTGGGCTTCGCTTTTCATCCATGCGTTGTGGTTTATCAAGCTTCCGTGGGCAAGCGAGCAGCCTAGCTCGTGGCTGCATATTATAGCGGTGTTTTTCTCGTTAGAGTTCCTCTATACGGGGCTCTTTATCACGACCCATGACGCAATGCACGGGACCATCGCGCTACGCAATCGACGCCTCAATGGTGAGCACTTCAGAGCGCGATCTTTTCTGTGTTTTCCTCAGACGCCCGCTGACGGTACTGGCATGCTGTCAAAGTGCCAATGCCTGTTAAGGGGGGCTCGTACGGTAAATTTGAGTACTAAGCTCCGGTTTAGACGATTAGCAGGGGTTGACATACTTCTCGGACCTATAACTCGTAAAGAAATCCCCCGTCCATTTGCTCTTTTTTCATTCTTATGGAGGAGGCAGTAGCAAAGCCCCCCAAAAAACGAGCATGTGGTGCATCTATGGGCTTGATCTTGATGTGTACAGTGCTAAGGTGAAAGATTTCTTAAGGCAGCGTCTTTAGGGACAGTTTTGCGCCAGTTTGATGGTGATGGAGCATCGGATCTCCCCACGAACAGGCGAGACCAGGTGAACATCGTCTCCCCAATTGGGGATGCATCCATAGCTGCAAGATTGCGGTCATGCCACCAGACGGCACCGGCCCTGCATCAGCCTTGGAGCCGCTCCGAACACCGCATAATGGTCACACCCTCTGACTTGGCGCTTTCCATCTCCACGGTCCTGCAGACTTCCTGGGCTGGCTGGCCATCAGCTTGTACGCATGGTTTGACTACTCCATCCTGCACCGCAAGTGAGCCGCGCAACCTGCACCTCCCCCGGGGGAGCAGGCGGTGACGAGAACGCAGGCGGGCAAAGAAATCAGGATGGAAAGAAAGCGGGTGGGTCATAGCATCGCTTAGGAGTATCCCCAGGAGGAACAGTCCAAGACACGAAAATTGCGTGAGGAGGGCTAGAAGCATCCAACGTTCCAAACAAAAACGGAAATTGCAAGGTCCGCCGGGCTTTGGCAGCGTTGGCCCCATCGTCGCGATTGCAATGACCAGGCTTATGTTGTAGCTGGCCGCCGAAAAGGCCTTTCGAGATGCTGGGAATGCGCTTTAGCGTGTATCTTTATCGACGGTGTGTGCTGTACTATACGATAGGTACTGCAGCATTATGAAGATATGGTCTGGAAAGAATCATGGAAACTTGGTAGAACGGGTCGCATACATGACAATCTGTACAGGACGGAACTTGGGAAACGGCAACCGGGCTAGCTTTGGGCTCGCTGTGAGGACTGACGGGTTGTCGCGACATCCGATTGGCGACCAGAGCGGGACCAGCCGGGAACAAGTATGTCTTTACATCTTACGCATCAAACCATGTTTGCTCTGGCCCCCAATCCTCGTCATTGCACCGTCATGTCCACATGCCGTCAACCCCCTCTCCCCCTGCCCCTCTTCCCTCGTGCTCATATGCAGGCACTGGGAGCACCACAACCACACGGGCGTTCCGTCGCTGGATCCAGATTTCCACCACGGCAACCCGAACATGCTGCTGTGGTTCGGACAGTAAGTCGTGGGGTGGAGGGCGGCCCCGACAGGGAAACTGGGCAAGATTGGTGGGTGGTGGAGGGATGGGCAGGTACTGCCCGGCAGACTGATGTGCGTTCCTCAGCGTCAAGACTCTGCAGGGCCGCCATCTCTTAACGTGCCAATACAAGGCCGATTGCGCACACTTCGGTGTCGTTTTCTGTCGTTTTATCTGTTGTATGCACGAGCTGATTCGGACAGGCGAAGTCCCATCCTAAAAGTCGTGATGGCTCAATCCCGCATTGGATGTCCATGCTTCCCATCTGGTTTGTTCTCCTTGTCCCCTTTGTTTCACCGCCATAGGTTTATGTGGTCGTATATGACCGTGACTCAGTTCATCAAGATTGCTGCCTGGTCCAACGTGTTGCTGCTGCTGGGGACGCCCCTGGCCAACCAGCTGGTGTTCATGACGGTGGCGCCGCTGCTGTCCGCATTCCGCCTCTTCTACTACGGTGCGCAAGAACGCCACGGAATCGGAAGCTGGGAACTTGTCCTGTAAAGTGGGAACAAGAAAAGCCCTCAAGGGGCATGTGGGGTCGTGCAGATGACCTTGCTGATAAAACGGAGGCAGAACGAGCGACCCCACTCGCATCTCACCTTACCACCTCCTCGTCCTCCCCTCTCTCCGTACCTCCTCTTCATCTCCATTCGCGCTCGTTGGGAATGGATGAGGTCGATATCCCAAGCGGTCTCGAGGGCTAGGGACATCCACACCTGACCCGCCTCACTGGATCTTCTGATAATCAACTTGTCTTTATTTGTTTGGCGGCTCTTCAAGGCGCTCATGTTCTGGGTAGTGGACTCCTTTAGTGGAGCTGGACATCCGCCTCTCCATTGCATGCGCACTGCTGGAAGCGATCTTCGCCAGACCACTCAACCACCTAATTGTAACCGCATGTCGTGTCTGTGCTCTTGGCCTGATCATATATGTGCCAGGAAGCTTACATACTGCTCGGGTGGCCCCAGGCCGTCCTTCACCCGCTTCGCTCGTTATGCACCATGGGACACCCTCCTTTGTGCCATGTCCCCACGTGGTGACGACCCTACTGCCACCGCAATTCATTCCGTCTTCCCGTTCCTCGCAAAATCCTTACCCTTTTCTTTTGAACTTCGCCTGCCCCGTCCACGTTGCAGGCACATATGTTCCACACCACCCGCCCATGGGTCACTTGGGCCCTATGCCCTGGCAGGTATCCCGCTCCTCCACCGCCCCCGCACTGATGTCCTTCCTCACCTGCTACCATTTCGACATGCACTGGGAGCACCACCGGTGGCCCTATGCGCCCTGGTGGCAACTGCCTGTGTGCAGAGACCTGGTCAGGCGGGCCACCGCTGCATCCTCTGCCCTGTACGGCGGCGCAGGCGTCACGACCAACCCGCGGGACATTGCTCGGGATAAGAAGCATCCGCATAAGACACAGCACAGAAGGGAGGGTCTGGACCCCCCGGGAGCACCGCCAGGGGCTGCGGCAGCAGCTGCCGTGGTCGCAGCGCGGTGAGAGGGGGCCCACAGAGTAACGCTGCAGGATGTGCAGGGGGGAAGAGCGGTGACGGCGATGTACATGCTGCCCCGCAGGTGGGCAGGGGCTCTGTCCTGGGCTTCTGTGAGCATTGCCCTGGATGTGTGACTGTACAGCATCGGGATTTCCACCCACGGCAGGTTTTGGGTGGACGCGTGTGCGCATGTGTATGAGTGTGTGTGCCACATCATTCCTGAGCAAGGGGCTGACGCTGGCCAGGATCAGCTATCCTAATCAGGTGGTCTGACGGATAGAGAGCCGAAACACTCTTCCCAAACGAGGGAAGAGGGACGTTAAGGGGCGCTGCTCCCCGCTTGCTCGACCTGGAGACTGCACGCGCTGAGCGGTACGGCTACAGCCGTACAAAACACGAGGCCACAGTCATGCCGTCTCCAACGGGATCCTCATTTGCAGCCGTTGCCG